GCAAGGCCACCAACAATATCCACATATGACATCATGGGAACAGTCATAAAAGATGAGAACTAACTAATACACCTTGCATGCTATACAGCATAATTCTCATTCATCAATATAACACTCAATACAGGCTCACTTTAGTATAATCAACAGAGTATTTCCCAGTACAGACAGAGAAGGATTAATCCTTCTACATACTGAACATACGAACAAACATCAATTAAATTTCATAGTCATATATGAGATCAAAATGAATGAAATACTATATTAAAAAAAAAAAATTATTTTTCAGAATCTTCATAATTACATAATAGGGGATCTAAATGAGATATTGAAACTGAGAAGGAAAAAAAATGAAGGCTGCACAGGTTCAGGCTCAACGTAAAGAAGTTTAGCTTTCAAGACAAATCTTTGGTATATTATGATTTGTCTTCTTTACCACACCGAGCCAAAGGAAATCAAAACTTCTAGAATTCTATCACCAGTGATACCTAATACAGAGATGCAAAGCATATAATAGACCCATGAGAACACTTGCACAGGATATAGAATTGTTACGTGAAAAACTCTTACCGAAGGGCTTTTCCAGCACGTTGGATCATTGTAGACACAACTGCATTATTAACTTTTGGGACCACAGTTGTCAAGTCAATATTGGCATAGCACAAGGGATCCATGGCACATTTGTAGAACATAGAACAAGTTGCAGCAGCATAGCACAGGCTTTGTGCATCAAGCATAGAAAATAACTGCACGTGCATAATGCTTATGAATAGATCATTTGGAAAAAGAAAACCATTTTACAGTAAAAATGCATTTATAATTAACTAGAAACTCAAATGCTCAGCACGAGCTGAAAATGACAAAGTAGACATTTCCATAACAGGAATCTAGAAATTCTTGATCCTAAATCAACAAGAGCCATCAAACCAAACATGGCAGCCTCGTAACATCTTCATGGATCTAAGATCCACAGAATATTCACATCAATGTATCAGAATATAAGCACATCAATGCACTTTCAAACTCGAGAAACTGTTATATTTGGCAGTATTTCGCTGCTACTTAATTAAACACGTTTAATTAATACCATCAACATTTTTATGCAATCAATTCATTTGAAGCCACATCCATCAATCAAAGCATTCCGAAATGGAAATTCAAGATTACCAAACACAAATCATGATCCCTTAAAAATTCCTCCACAACACCTGATTGGACCATATTCACGGAAGCAAGCAACACGAAAAACTTTTCACTCATAAATCAACCAACAAGTAAACCAAACCTTGAATTCCACATTACAATAATAACGAGGCTTTAAAAAAAATCCTACTGTTATCGCCGGCAAGCAAAACACAGCCCGCAACTTGCATGAATTGAAATTCTCAAAATCTGAACAAAAAGAGGCGAGGAAAGAAAAAACTTAATAATAAAAAAGAAACCTTGATGGTAAGGTCAGGAGGGAGAGCCCAGGTGAGTGAATTATGAACGGAAGAGCGTTTCCTAGCAGAGTTGTTGCCGGCTTCGAGAAGAAGAGATCCTAGTTTAAGGGCGCGATCGATGAGGATAGACTGATCAGCATCGCAAGGGGAGGAGTCGAGGAGATGCTCAAAGGATTGGTCGATGGAGAGAGAATGAGAGTCAGCTAGGTTAAGAAATGTTTGGAGAAGGTTTCCAACTTGATTGTTCATGTTAGGGAGTTTGTTAGGGTTTGGAGGAGGAGGAGGAGAGCGAGAGGAAGGGAAAGGGCAGGGGCGTTTGGACATGGAAGTCGGGGTGTGGAGGAGGGTATCCATGGTGGGTGAATGTGTGTCTGTGTGCGTGTGCGTGTGTGTGTGTGTAAGAGAGGGGGATAGAGAGAGAGCGTGAAGAAAGGAGAGTCCCCGTTTTTAAAAGATATGGAATACGGACAAAGGATTGGGTGGCACGTGGATGAATACGTGGGGGTTTACTGGAGTGGGGGATGGGTGGCTGGTTGGGTAGATGTTGTAATATTGGTTATAATTTAAAATATTTTTTATTTTAAAATATTTTTTTTTAATATTAGAACATCTAAATAATTAAAAAATCTAAAAAAATTAAAAATTTTAAAAAACATGATTTATATCACATTTCCAAATGAATTAGAGTGTGCTCCTATGTCATTGCCTCTCTCCAGTATTAAATGTAAAACAAAGCTGCGATGAAGGCTATATATAGAAATTCATATTCGAAGTTAAAGAAATAATAATAAGAATATCTTTCATTCTTAAGATTATTTTTTCAATTCTCTTTTTTTCCTTTTACATATATATATATATTGCTAATTACAGTTTCGAATTTCAATAAAATGGTTCAGAGACCTCTTTTTTTAACATGAACATGCAATTTTTATGAGATGAGGAACTCAGTCACTACACTCAACCTGTGTTCTGTAGATGAATCTCGAACATATGTATGATAAATTTACAACAATAAAAGAAAATTAAGATTTTTTACGTATTTAATAAGAGACATGAGATTGGAATCATGATCTTAATTGTCTTTATCTCGCTTCTCAGGCATTGAATTATAATTAGAGGAAGTGTAAGAAAAAGTAGGAGGTCACAAACACCTCAAAAGACATATTCCACTTGCTCAAGCAATGTTTTTGGAAATTGATTAACATAAACACATAAATATAGAAAAAGGATTGTTGTATATATGTCGAAAACATGTTTAAAATCATGGTAATAATTTGTTTTTAAAATATTTTTTGTTTATAAATATATTAAAATAATATTTTTTATATTTAAAATTTATTTTTAATATCAACATATTAAAACAATGCAAAATATTAAAATAAATAATTTTATATAAAAAATAAATAAATATTGATCACCCTCTGTTTAGGCCATAATCCTAGACAAATACTAAACTTAAGGGTGTTTAAAAATATTGGAGCGGTTGTAATTTAAAGTTTTTTTATTTAAAAATAAATTAAAATAATTTTTTTTTATTTTTTTAAATTATTTTTAATATAAATATATTAAAATAAAAATATAAACAAAATTAAATAATTTTTTAAAAAAAATACAGCTTCGCTGTCAAACACTGCAGCTTGGAGCACAACTATACCTCCATTTAATTATTATTATTATTATTAACAAAACTTTTTAACTCAATTTTTTTTGTTTAGATTAACGTGGGTGTCCGGGCCAGCTTGCGCACACCATGACTAATCCTACGGGCCTTGAAGTAGACTAATCTTGATTTATGTTG